CTGTGGTTTTCACTTTGCCACAGGCAAGGGGTGGGGAGAGAGAAGAGGAGGGTGCAGCACCCAGGCGCACCAGATGGTCTGTGTTCAGTGGATCAACAGTGTTAGTAAATGTCTCCGAGGCCAAACTGGGAGTCTGCGTGGTACCTGACGCTGTTAAACTCTTAGCCCCAGGGTGAGAATTACAGAAATGGGTAAATGTTAGTGATTAGAGCCATTTTTCCTGTGTGAACCTAACATTCCTTCGAAAATAAAAGTATTTCAAGCCTTTACAAGAATACAAAAAGTAGTAGAATGAATGTTTTTTTTAATTTTGTGTTTTAAGTAAGTTTCTTAATAGAATGCATGCCCTTGTTATATATTTGAGCGCCTATACTGGTCTAGCCCTATGAGCAAAACTGATTGATAAATAAAAATATAAATTATTCACATATCTGCTTTTTCAAAGCTCACATCCTACTTTGGAAGAGAATCAAATAAACATTTAAGTGCAAAGCAAGGTAATAATTGTTACATCTGGGTCACAGTCCAAGGGCTTGTAGGGGCTCAAATAATCCAGGTGTCTACCAACAGATGAATGGGTAAATAAAATGTAGTGGATAAAACAGACTATTATCCAGCCTTTGAAAAAATGAGACTCTATTACATGCTACCACATGGATGAACATCAAAGACATTTTGCTAAGAAAAATGATTCTGTCCATAAGGTCAAATATTGTATGGTTCTCCTTATGTGAGGTACTTAGAAGGGTCAAATTCAGAGACGGAAAGTGGAACAGTGGTACCTGGGGTTCCAGGGAGGTGAGAGTGGAGAATTATTATTTGAAGGGTACAGAGTACCTGTTTGGGGTGATGAAAGTTTTGGAAATAGATGGTGGTGATGGTTACAAAACATTGTGAATGTTAATGTCACTGACTTGGACACTGAAAATGGTTAAAATAATAAATGTTATGTATATACATCTTATCACAAAAAAAGGTAAAACTATAACAACCATATGTCTTCCTGGCAAAAATGAGGCCCTTAAATTTCCTATTGAAGCATAAAATAATCCCACCAGTTATTTTGTTTGGCAACTACCTCACTCAAGCCTCCGGGGAGCGCCCTTCACCCTGGTGATCCGGCTTTGGTGAGGGCATCAACTGCACCCAGAAGAGGCACTTTCCAAGGAGCCTACCGTTATCACAAGTATGGAGGCACCCACACACACAGCATACTGACATTTCCGGTGGCAATGGCGGCTATTTGTAAGACGGCCTTATCACAACTTCTTCATCAGCACCTAGGAGTCCAGGAGCAAAAACAGTGTTTTCAGATATTTTGTTCTTTCTCCAAGCCCAGTGAGGGTGAATCTTGGCTGCTTAGAGAATCCGAAGTTGAATATTGAGATAAAAAATGCAGCTTAAGCAATACATTGCCCTATGAAGCCCTGTTATTATCCTTGTAGCATGTGGACAAAAGACCTTATTCCTTGCCTATTACTTCAAGAATGAAATGGCCCTGGTGGCATTCAGTGAGTGGTGTCTTGTCCAAACGCACTTATCAGTGCACTCCTGAGGGATTCTGAACCAATTTCCTGCGTTCTCGGAAAACCTGGGCGAGACCTGCTTTACACAATACTGCTCCAATTTGAGTGCATAGCAATGAAAACTAATGCTTTCCAATGTGAACAGTCAGCCGCCCTGATGTCGTTTTGCTCCCTGAGTGACATGGATTTGTCTAATATTGTCTCTTGTGTAATTGAAAAAAAAGAGGGTTTTAATTTTCCACCACTCGGGAGATGGCCATTTTTGCATCGTCCACTTGTGGACAAAGTCGGCGTCCTGCCGCACATCCTCTTGGTTCACCTCTTGCTCCAGCCATTGTTGCAGCAACCAGTTTTGAGCAGGTGGAACCTGGCGATGCGTCCTGTCCCATCTGCTGGAGCGTCTCTCTTCCTGTGGGCACCACCCCATGAAGCACTGGCTGGGACCAGCCCAGCACTCACCAGCAACACCTGAATGTGCGAGGAAGTTGATACCACAGGGGCGACCCTCGAACGATGGGAGTGGGGAGCTGGCGGGCAAATGCTCCTCCCCTTCAGTCTCCATCGTTCCTTAAGTGGCCCTCATAGGGATCAAGCCCCCCGTTGCCCGTAAGAGTAAGGACCCCAGAATGCATCATTACTAACTTGTCCTCCTTCCTGGGGTCCTTCTCCTTAAATTCCACTCCTGTTTTCTGGGAACACTCCCATAAGTAGAAAATTCTGGAAATCAATTAAGACATATTCCTGAATAGGAGGCAGGAGATACCAAGGCCTGGTTGCTGGATATAAGCTCTAGTGTCTATGAGTTAATGGATCTTGCTCTTTTCAGTAATGCTAGTTCAGTTTCTGAAGTTCAGTGCCAATTTGGTTCTTACATTTTAACTCCTTCAAGTGTTATGTGAAAAGTAGATTTGGTAAATTACTCTCCTTGTTAGACATGCCGTAAATTCAGTATCAATCTGTGATACTGATTGACATTCTTTAAGTACAAATTAATTTTTTTAAAAAGGGAAGGAAATAGATCTTAAAACATTTTTAAGGACTTCCGCCAAGATGGAGGCATAGGTGGAGAAGCTGTGCTTCCTCACACAACCAAGTTTAGAGACAAATAAATAATAGCAACAGAAAACACAGCCAGAACACAGAAAATTGAACATTTTGGAAGTCTGATAACAACAAATTCTTCAGCCTGACCGATAAGAGGGGCAAAAACAGCAGCTGGCAGAGCGGGGTAGCACAGAAAAACTCAGTCAGACGGACTCAGGTGCACGGAATCCAGGCGCAGGGTTGGACCTGGTGGGCAACTCACCAGGCGACTGCGGGGAAACAGCGAGGGACCAAGGCTGCGGGTTGACTGTGGCCGCGCATTCGTGTGTGGATAGACACGTGAGGGAGTGGGCGACTGGATGGGACCCAGCAGCCCCAGAGGCAAGCGGCTGCTGTAGCGGTGGTGGCGGCAGCGGAGGGCGACGCCATTTCCCCGCTCTGACCACGCCCCCACATACAGGGTCATAACCCAGCGACCCCGGAGTCCAAGCCTCTGCTTCTCACACTTAAAGGGCCAGAACAGACCAAAAATGGCTCAAGAAGATCTCAAAGCCCCAGAGCCTATAAATCTAAGCAATGAAGAAATAGCAACTCTCAGACACACAGTTTAAAACACTGGTGATCAGGATCCTCACAGAACTGGTTGATTATAGCCACAAATTAGACAAACATATGAAGGCGAAACTAATTGAAATGAATGGAAATGCACAGAAAACCAATAGCGATGAAAAGAAAACTGGGACTCAAATCAATGGAGTGGACCAGAAGAAAGCAAATAATGGCCAAACAGAAAAGAGTCAAGAAGCAAGAATTCAAAGAAATGAGGAGAGTCTTAGGAACCTCCAGGACATCTTTAAACTCTCCAACATCTGAATTATAGGGGTACCAGAAGGGGGAAAGGCACAGCCACCAATGGAAAACTGATTTGAACAAATAATAAAGGAGAATTTCCCCAATCTGGCAAAGGAAATAGACTTCCAGGAAATCCAGGAAGCTCAGAGAGTCCCAAAGAAGTTGAACCCAAGAAGGAACACACCAAGGCACATCATCATTACATTAGCCAAGATTAAAATGAAGGAGAGAATCCTAGAAGCAGCAAGAGAGAGGGGGACAGTCACCTACAAAGGAGTCCCCATCAGACTGTCAGCACATTTCTCAAAAGAGACCTTGCAGGCAAGAAGGGGCTGGAAAGAGGTATTCCAAGTCATGAAATCCAAAGACCTACAACCAGGATTGCTCTATCCAGCAAAACTTTCATTTAGAATGGAAGGACAGATAGAGTGCTTCTCAGATAAGATCAAATTCAAAGAGTTCATCATCACCAAGCCCTTATTCTATGAAATGTTAAAGGGACTTATCTAAGAAAAAGAAGTTTAAAAAATATGAACAGTGAAAGGACAGCAAACTCAGTTATTAAGAACCAGACCTAAAACAAAATCAAACTAAGAGGACAGCTAGATCAGGAGCAGAACCATAGAAATGAAGATCACATGGAGGGTCAGCAACAGGGGAGTGGGAGGAGGAGAAGTAGGGAGAAGGTACAGAAAATAAGTAGCATAGACAGTAGACAGAAAATAGATGGGGGGGCAAGAATAGTATGGAAAATATAGAATCCAAAGAACTTGAGACACATGGTCATAAACTAAAGGGGGGTAATGATGGGGGGTAGGGTGGAGGGGAATGAAGGGGGGAATAGAACAACTGTAACGGCACAATCAATAAAAAAATAAATTAAAAAATATATTAAAAAAACATTTTTAAAACTTGAAACAACTCAGGCACACACAAAAAATAAATTTAATGGCATGTCAGCAAGATGAGACAGCTAGTAGTACTTTATCTTATTTGCTTTGAGCCCATTATTTCAGTACTATATTTTATTTATAATACTATAAATAAGGTACTATTTTTTTAATAAAGAAAGTATTTCAGCACAGCTACAGCCTCACCCAGTGTCCGCTTCCTTCCTCTCCTCTCCACCTGCAAGGACAACGCAATTCAGAAACAGCATCGTCATCCTCACACACTTCGTAGTTCTGTGCAAATACGCCCATCGACAATGTTCGTTCCCTGCATCTCCCTCTTGTTACTGCTGGGAAGTCTAGTTGCAGTTCTTGGTAAAAATCAAACAAATAAGCAATCAACCCTTCTTCTCTCTCTATTTTTTAAGATTTTTCTCTTTGACTTTGGTGTTCGACAGTTTCAGGACAATGTAACAATATAAGCAGGTATTTGAGGAAAATATATGAGGCTCACTGTGATTTTTATAAGGCTGATGATCCCCATCTAAACCCATTTTTGGAAAAAGAGCCTGTTTCCCAAGCCAGGCCCCCCTCCCTGAGGTGGCTCATGGGACCATCTGGGTTCTGACTCAGCGCGTGGCCCCTAGGGTCAGGCACGGCCACCCCTTCCTGTGCTCGCATTGGAGAAGGAGGCAGCAGGGAGTGGTGGGCAGCGCTGTCCTCAAACCTGGGTAAACATGTAAGTGTGTGATCCAAACAGAGACACTTTGGGGTGAAGGGGGACTGTTAGTAACATGCCGGGACCATTTCAGGTGAACTGATCTGGGCTCAAACCCTGGCTCTGCTTCCGCCGGCTGCATGCGTTGGGTTGTTAGGCAGCTGTGATCCTGACCTGCTGGCCTCCAACCCAAAGTCCCCAGAAGTGGCCGCAGTGCTGCGTGGGCCTGAAGTTTGCCAACCACTCCAGGTCTTCACGGAGCTCACCATCCAGACCATGGGTCAGGAACTGGCTGTATTTTCCACCCCTGACGTCCTTCCGTGTGTTCGAGGGCCAGTCTGGGAGCTTGTGCTGGCGTGGCGTCTGCCTCATGGTGATGACGTGTTCTGCCTCATCCTCGGTGAGCCCCCTGCCTTCCCCGCACTGCTGCGCATCGCTTCGCCCACCCCTGTAACTGCAGTGATGGCGAAGGCTCTTTCCTGATGCCCACTGATACTGGTGATGAGCACTAGCAAGATGTCCTGCAACTTCTAGGGGTTGCTGGAGACACGGAGGCAGCCCAGCAGCGGCCGTGAGCTATTTCTCTTAAGAAATATGAAACACTCCCGGGTCTGACGGGTCAAAACCTGGTTTCCCTCCAGAAGAGGGGATACCGGATACTCATGTCAGTTCTCCCATCTAAGCCACGGGCTCCAATGCTCCTTGATTCTGGTTCTTCTTCTGAAATTTGTATTTGCTTCCAAAATGAGTCAGACACAGTACTGTCCACTCAGGCCACTGGCCAACGGCGCCTGTGGCCGGCCCAACGGGAACAGCCATGGACCCACCTCTGGGAAAACAGCATGAAAACCGTGGAGTTCCCCGGGACAACCCGCCAAAGGTTCCCGTCTGACGTGCATGCCTGGGGTCTGGTCTGGGAGCATCTGCCTGGAAACGTCGAGAGAAGATGGCGCAGTCTTCACCTCCTCTCATCTCCTGGCTCTTCTCACACATGGATCGGAGCTGGAGCACCGCCCCTTTGTGGGGCTCTGAAAAAATGGTGTGTGAATGGCCATTTGTCAAAGTGATGAGTATTAGCAATCCAGATGGCAGAAGAAACAAAATGTGCAATCATTGTATAAAGTTCCAGAAACACTTTATTTAAAAATGGAGTTGTAAATGCATAACAAAATAACATAAGTAATAAATGTAACAAAAATAAATAAGGAGAATAATGTATTCATTAAAAAATAAAAATAACATAGTAAAAGGCCAAATGTTTAAACAAACCTGTGTAAACACTTAAACGATAATGTAAGGAAACGGATGCTAATGTGTTCCTAATCAACTCCTTACCTTCTACTCCCCGGGGACATAATCGGTACCCAAACATTCAATAAAAGAAGGGACAATTGATGTTGTTTCACTGGTTCTTCAAATGGACCGAGCCTATTTCAATGTTTCATTCATCCTTTCAAAGCATTTATGTCTTTCCGTTCATGTTCTTTAAAACATTTTTTCAGTGTTCCTTTATCAGAACAGGGTATTTAGCTTCATCAGGAGAATAGTTCATTTACCCTTTTTTAAAAAAAACTTTAAAGAAAAATATGAGGTCCATCACACAACAGACTTTTGTTTTCTCATCTCTACAAAAGGGTATTTTTTGCTTTTCTTTTTGCATCTTTATTAACTGGCCCAACAATACTGGATTTTTATAAAATCCTGTAAAGTTCTGCAGTGTATAGTTAGTTTCTTAACACAAATGTAGCACAGGATTATTGCTAATATATTTTAGACCATTTCATTAATTTGCAAAGGTTGTAGTTTTAACCTTTATAAACTGATGGTGTCAAGGGGAAACTCCAAATCTACTAATAATGTTGAACTGAATTAAGATTCACCCAAATTATAGTGTTCTGGAAACACAGAGATACTTGCTTTCTTTCAAAACTTATCCAAATGTGACCTTACTGGAAAGAGAAAAAAACTAGTTTACAGAAGATATTTTTCATAGGCTTTCTGTTGAGTAACACAGGCCCAAAGCCTTTGTCGCTGTCGTCTTGCAGAGTCCTTATAAATGAGTAAGAAAGACTGAGACAGAGTTCACTATCGGGTCCTACAGGGAAACACACAGAAGCAATTCGCTCTGCCTGGGAGTGAAACTATCAACTAGGCTTATGACTACTTATGGTTCTCCAAGTGTCCTAATGCAGAAAATCTTCACTTCATGATCGTTCCAGGGACTTTGTTTTCTCAACTGTCACACAGAAAGTCGGTAACACGGGACCAACATACATGTTCTTAGCTTTAAAAATACACTCCACCTACACTGTCTGTCCAGTTTAATCTCTCTAGTTATCATTGACCCTAAGGTGAGAGAGAAAATCTTACTTGCATAAAAAAAAAACTTTAAAAAGTGCCAAATTCATCTTTTTTGAAAGTGGAGTAAAACGCTGTCGGGTTAAAACAAATACAGTATCATCATCAGTCTCCTATGTACAGAAAAGGCGGTTAGTCCTTACTGATCTACAGGTGCGCCCACCGACCACTCCCAGCAAAATCTTAGTGCAAACATAATAGTTCATCTCCGTAAACCCCAAGACAATTTACGTAGCAACAGAATTATATAAATCACATGTATGTTGGAAAATTTTAGAACATAAGAGTGACTTTTTTAAAAGGTCAGTTTGACTGTGGAGAGTTAGATATCGCTGTATCCAATGGCGATGAGTACTAATATAAATCCTATTATTGAGAAGTAAATATAAGTGTTTAACAAATCTATACAGGTGAAGAGAAAAGTCCGTTTCAGGGAGCAGCTTGGCACAGGAGACACGGGGTCAGAAAGGTTGGGCGTTTAGCTTGCTTGTAGGTCACAGCACAGCTTAAAAAAACAGAAACAAAAATCTATGCAGGGAAAGGATGTAATTATATTCAATTTGAACATCATAAAACCACAAAAGGTGAAATCGCCACAATCTGCTTTTTCCTATGTGTGCACCAAGTGGCTATCTAAGTGGCTGGAAAGGATGAATATGCTACCACGTTAGAGGGGAAAATAAATAAATAAAATTAAAAAGCCAGAGATAACAAGATTGTACTTGACCAAGCTGTCTTGTTTTGTGCAAGTCAACACCACGCCGCTGCCAGCATTCCTGGTCATTCCACAGGTGATCACTTCCTAACAGTCACGAGAAAGTCACTCGGGGACGGTGATGTCCTCCTCTTCCCCATCGGGGTTGAACCTGTTGAAATGGATGCTGAAGTCGGCCTCGGATTCTGCGTTGTCAAATTCGGCCGAGACCGAAACACCAGCGGGGTGCAGAACCCGAGCTTCTGCGGGGCAGAGGGACGGCGTCTGGCCCGGGCTGCTGTGGTTATTCACGGGACTGGACTTCTGCTTCGGTGGCGACGGCAGGAGCGTACTGGGAAACCCCATGCTGTTCAGAGCCTCCAGAGTCCCGTCCGGGTCAATCATGGCGTTGATCACTGACGGAGGGAAAACACAACTGTTGATGCGATGAAAGTGGGATCGGGACATCGCTATGACTTGGACAATATTTTGACTATTGATGCTTTCATCTGATGCTTAATTTTGGCTAATCCTTTCTACACTGTTTTAAACCCCATTTCAACAACATGGGGGCTGATGTACAGCGTTTACAGACCTGAATGCTCTCTCTGGTGCCCTGAGCAGCCCACACAGGGGCCTTTCAGAGCCTGATGGAAGACTGGTGTTTGGAGATGTGGGACTCAGAAAAGATCTTTTTAAAATCTGCTTTCCTTTCTTTAAGGAGAATAAGTGAAAATACCGGTTACAATTTTAGTACAAACTCCTGGTGGTATTAATCACTCTGGGAACTAGGGATGGGTTGCTGTTGATGAGGTTTGGAGTCATCTGAGGCCTGGGGAAACTGAACGACATGAGCCCACCCCGAGTGCCACCAAGGGCACGCTGTCATTCATGCTGGTGACAGTGCCAGGGCATCGGCCGTTGCAAGTGTGCACGTGTGTGCCGCTGAGCCCCAAGGACCCTCCCGCAGCACAGAAACTAGTGCCCCCGGGCAGCCCCCACTGGCCAGACGGACCTTCCCACCTCCACGGGAAGGGCCGGTTGAAACCGGTTTCCAATACAAAAGACCTTTGAGTGGACAAGGAAAAATCTTAGGCCATTATTTTCAACTTGGCCTTGGGTAGAGAGGGGTTTTGGGAGAAGGAAGCGCGGACAGACTTCGGAATCACCTAAGAGGCCCTTCAGGTGTATCCCGTTCTGGCAGCTCACAAAGCCACTTTTACTCACGGGGTTCATCCAGATGCTCAGGGGGGCTGAGGCTAAATGAAGACTGAAAATCGCTTAGGGGGGACTCACATATCACGTCTACGGTAATTCAAGCAACAAAAATTGAGTAGAATTAGCAGTTCATTCTGGAATCCGCTTGTTGTACCGCTGGGGACCTCTGGGTCAAGGCCTACAGAGGCACTGATGTGTGACTGAGATCTGACACAGCCAGGACAGGGTCCCAGGACAAGGTCCCTGTCCAAGCTCGGGAGGCGGCTAATGGAGCCTCTCTTCTTGCTCTCTCCCAGTCCCCGGGGCTGAAGTGACGCACTCGTTTCTTGTTCACCCACCCTACTGTTTGTGTTACCAGTTCATCTGGGTTATACCACAAGTGTAATTTAGGAACTGCCAGGCCAAAGCAAGAATGCTAGCCCTTAATAAGCATTATCAGTTGCATATACATATTTTAGGACATTATTTTATATATTTCTCACATATCAGTATCTATATATTTAATAGGTAGTACATATAAGACTATAAATTAGTTTATAACATCTAACAATATGCCCAAGATTTCCCTTTGCTGTCTTTTAAATTACTTATAATGGACTTTAAACTTTCTTTTCATGAGTAATTTGGATAATTACAACTCTATATTTTTATCTATGTCATTATATTTAATCACATAATGTTCTAATAATAAGAATATTCTAAGAAATGCCACTCACTACGCACTGTTCTAAATTGTTAGCTCTTTCCACTTAATTCAACAGTAAGTTTACCTTGCAGCTGCTTTTCAACTCTTTTTAGCTCCTGTAAGATGGAAGAAATCTCCTGCGGGGAAAGCAGTGACAAAAATTACCCGACCTTATGAAAAACATTTTTATTTGATGGGCAATGATGCTCAGACTCATCTCATTTGGGATATTTAACACTCTCTCTCCATGGCACTACATTTGTAGCAATAAGATATGAAATCATCAGGATACCCAGTAAACAAGATTCAAATTTTAAAATCTTTACATTAATGTTAAAGTAAAATTACTTTTTTCCATGAGATAACGATAGAACTTTGGAAAGTTCCAAATGGCACCACTATGAAGAAAAGGTTTTGAAAAACTTAAATTGACAACACTGCAACAACTTGGCAGACGCGCCTAAGGATTTGAAATTCTTTGGAAACGTGTATAAGCGTCTGACCTCAGGTTTGGGATGACTCTCTGATCAGTGAAAATCTATGCAAATGTTGAGGTGGGGACAAGCAATTTGTTAAGCAGATGGAAATGACTCATGTCAACTTATATTGGAGTTTGGCTCTCATTTCAAAATTGCCTGCCTCTAATGTACCATTATTACAAGAACACGAGTGTGTGACAATAAAAGACACAAACGGTTCCCCTTCATGTTCTTGTAACTTCAAAGCAATCAGTATTTTAAACTCCTGCAAGAGACTGTTCAAGATATAAGATTTCCCAACTATTGCATTCATATCTTCCCTTAAAAATGTAAACAGACAAACAGCTCAAGAACAAGCATATCAACCCCTTAAAATAAGACGCTGCTGTTAAGATGCTTTGCCAGTGAGGGAACAGTACCATACCATGCTTGAGGTTTTCACGATAGGGACTTCACTTTCGGTTCTTAATTTGCTTTCTATTTCGTCCCAATTCCGATCTTTATCTTTAAATAATATTCTACAAATGAAAAAACAGAGCATTTTAATATAGAAACCTACCACATTTTAAATAATACAAAAACAAGGTATCTTTTCAAAGCTAAACAATGAAGAAGCCACTAAATATCAATAACTGCAAATACAGTACTGAGCCAGTATCACCCCCAAAATCATTTCTGAGGGAGAGCCGCGTTAAAAAGTCACTGAGTGGTTACCAGTATGTACATATGCTCTTGTTATTTATCTCATTCTTTATTAAAAACCAAATGTAAACAAATGTAGATGATGATCTAACCCCCCACATTTCATGAAATTTGTAATTAACCACCAGTTATAATGAAAACAGAACTTTGCTCCGACAGAACATGTGCGGTATAAACACAAGATGAAACTAAAATAGGTGGAATTAGATATGAATTATTGTGCCTCTTAAGGCTTCTCTATATAGGAAAAGGAACCTTCACTGATGAGTGAAGTGTGAACATTACTTTAAAGGTTAAAAATCAAAGTGCTCACTGTGTTTTTCTTTAAAAATGTTAATTCATGCTAGTACATTGCACACAATTACGCTTAGGAGTGAAGACACTACCCTTTTGATAAAAAGAGTCACAATAAAGATAATTATCCTTATGTTAGAAATTAAATTCAAATATGTTAACTTATCAAGCGCCAGACATTTTGATTTGTTATTCAAACATGGGATCATTCTTGCCCCAATACTTGGGAATCTGAGACATGACTCAGCAGTTTTTGAAAGATGCAAATGCCAGGCATCCCTGTTTTCTTTTTAAGTTTCTTTATTCAACTTGGAAATGTAATTTACTGCCTTATATAAACATCAACACTGTACAGGTAAATTACTTATCTGTATTTCTTCAAGGATCAATATGCCAGGTTCAACTTATTTAAAAACAAGAAATTCATGAATATCAAATCAGGTGTAAAATATCCATGATTACTCATAACCATGCTTAAAAAGGCAATAATGGCCTGGCTGGTGTAGCTCAGTGGATTGAGCACAGGCCTGCAAACCAGACAATTGCAGTTCGATTCCCGGTCAGGGCATATGCTGGGTTGCAGGCCGGTTCCCTGCAGGCCACTTCCCAGCAGGGGATGCACGAAAGGCAACCACACATCGATGTTTCTCTCCCTCTCTCCTTCCCTTCCCCTCTAAAGATAAATAAATAAAATCTTTTTTAAAAAAAGCAATAATGGTTTTAGAATCCGATATAAGAACATTCTGATCTTCTGCTGAATCTGTTTTGTTTTAATGTATTTTTTTAGAGAGAGAGAAAGAAAGGGAGGAGGGAGAGAAACACTAATGGGTCGCCTCTTGCACACTTCCAAGTGGAGGCTTGGCCTGCAACCCAGGCATGTGCCCTGACTAGGAATTGAACTGGCAACCTTTTGGTTTGCTATACCACACCAACCCACTGAGCCACACCAGCAGGGCTACTGTTGGATTTTCCAAACCCCCCGAATAAGCATCCCTGCCAGACACCAAGGGCTGTTATCCTTAACAGTGCTATAAGTAAATTATTTATTATTTACTTATAATAAGTAAATTATTTTATGTGTTGTGAGAGTCCTAATAGCACTAGGATCGATGGGAAGTAAGAAAACAGTGACTATTTCATGGACCAACTTGGAACTACAATGGTCTTGTACTAAACAGGAAGTCTGTGATTAGCCACGCAGTGCTGAAAAAAAAAAAGTGAATTTTCCCCAAAAATGGTTACTGGGAAAAATGTTTGTGCTTCCAATTGTTGAACCACACATATTTTGCATAAAGCCCTTTTCCATGTATTTTCTGACTCTTTAAAGAGTGTGTAATGAAGCTTGAGGTCTTATAAAAGAAGCCCCAAAAGCCTGTTAATTTAAAATACCAGTATAACATGGGAGAGAAATTGTTTCTGGTTACTAGTAAAGTTAAACTACGTGATTATAGCTGTTCACTTCCCATTATAAGGTGTCATTGTCTGGGACGTTTATTTCTCCGTCCCCTTCATGCTGCCTAACTGGCCAGTGGCTTCTCTAAAAAGGAGGGAATGTGGTCGAGGCAGAAGTGAAGCCTCGGAGCCTCGGAGTGAAGTGAAGCCCTGGAGCCTTGGTGGCAGCAGGCTTGAGAGTGGGGACCAGGCCACAGTTAACAATATAAGCCAAGGGGCTGGCAGGACAAAGCGTACCTGATCTTCCCAGCGGTTTTATCTATGGACTGGCGGATCTTCCTGGAGAACTGGAACACAGATGACAGCAGCAGGTTGTCCCCCATGACCTGAAACGGCCAAAGAGAAGAGCAGACATGACACCGTCAGCTCAGCCTCACACTGTCACCAGGAGGAACACCCGTCACGGCTCACTGTTCTTAGGGGCTTCTAGTATTTACGCCAATTTTAATAAAAGACACAATTCACGTAAAACTAACTACACTGCCCAAGAAGTATCAGCAAAGGAGTTCCTTTTTATCCAATAACCCGTGAAGTTTCCACACCGTCTTTGTCACATCACTTGCAGACATCCATCCATGTTATCCTAGCACCCCTTACTGTCAAGACCCTGTTCTCTCAGGCCACCAACGAAATCACCATGACAGGGACAGCAGAACTAACTTAGAATGCTAAATTTAGTAGGCGTTCTTTCGTCAAATAACATCGACAGAAAGATGCAGAGGATTACAGTCCTTGTTCCCCAGGGCAGTGTAATGGGAACAGTCCTTGTTCCCCAGGGCAGTGTAATGGGATAGATATATTTTTAGAATTTACTCAAGATACAAGTTTTTATGACGGTGGTTGGCACCTCCCCAGCTGAAGCTCACGAGCAAGACCAGAGGTCAGCACACTTGCGAAAAGGGCCAGAGCAGCCCTCGGGCCGTGGTCTGGGCCACAACAATGCAGCTCTCAGTGCGGCGCGAAAGCCGCTCCAGGTTCTGCACAGGCAAGTGGGCGTGGCCGTGCTGGAGCAAAACCTCACCAGGTGGGTGGCAGGCTGGGTTTGGTCTGCGGCCTGCGCTTCGTCAGGGGCTAACCCACGAGAGGCACAGCTAGTGCAGAACGCTGAGGAAAGGGCTCAGCGAGGGCTCAGTGCTGGGTCCCCAGGTTGGCCCCCGAGACTGTCAGACCTGCATCTGGACACTGGAACACAATCCAGAAACTAACATAAGGCTTTGGATGTTAAAAAAGGCTTTAAAGGCAGGTGGGGGAGATCTCAGTAATATGCAGGACACACTACTGTTCTACACAAATGAAGGTAAGTGCCAAATGTGTGATTCAGCGCCGTAGGCATTCTAATGTGAAGGGAGTTCTGGCACGGGGGATAAACGCGGACAGCACCATGGAAAGTAGTCCTGACAGTGACCGGCATTTGAATTTAGGGCACAAAAGGTCATTCAGATGTGAAAAGTGACACACAGGCTGCCGAAAGGCTACACAAACGCACTGGTATTTTGTGAGTCTTAAGGATATAAAAAGGGTGGAAGAGACGTAGTAATTAGGGTGAAGGGAGAAAGGGCAAGGTGGACTAAGGAAAGACTGTAACAGAAAAGGCTATCTCTTTTCTACCCCCATGAAGTGTAGTTCGGTGTCACAATATATTAAAGATTTTGTGATATTAATCCTGAGAAACTATCAATCTAGATGTTTCCATTCTCTTTACAAATTAAACTGCCACACAGTTTAACTGCATTTAGAGGAATTTATCTTCCTAGACCTCAGGACAGAATGACCTGTAGATAAGACCAGGAGATGGGTCCTTTCCCAGTCATCACCAGGCCAGGCCAGAGAGGGTGCTGTAAAGCCACGCATTTCCAGCAGCCGCACCTGAGGCGCTAGCTGGCCACAATCTTCGGTCAGGTAGACTTCTGCTACTCGTACTACTGAAAACAAGGGTGTTCATACATGCTGACCTTTAGCTCCTGTTCCCTAGATCTGGGACCCACAAATGCCGTCCTGGGAGCTCATCCTTTTGTCGACTGCCCCTTTCTATATTCTCTTTCCACCCACCCCTAAGCCAGTACCTGTGCTGCCTCTGTGTATCAGCCCTCAGCTAGCTCTTAGGTATTTTCCCTTTAGGAAAAAACTGTTCACATTTTGTTTCTTTCCCCAGATTTTTCTATCGGGTTCTTTTGTCTTTCTAATTGCTTGGTAAGAGTTTTTCATATCTTCTGGACACTAATCTTTTGTTAGCTGTATGTTTCACAATAGTCCTTTGAATACTCAAATTTATCAATTTTTGAAAGTGAAACTCCTGTCTTTTAACAAATCAATGCCTACAGCAATGTTGAAAGCTATTTAGAATCTTTTTTTACTACACATTTTAAAGTATTGTTTTTGCCTGTCAGAAACCTGATTCATTTGGAGTTCATTACTGCACAGGAGGTGATGTCCAGGCGCAATTCCATTCTACCCAAGACAAGCACTTCCCCAGCCCTGTGTGTCCAACAGCCCCACCCTTCCCACGGGAGGACAGCCCTCCCCCGCCACTTGTCCACGCTGCCCGCTCACTCACTTCATCTCTGCTCCAGGTCCTCCGCCTGGTAATTGTCAGGTGATCGGGCGGCTCTGTGGGCTGGGGTCTTGAATCACCAGATCGACAGTTGTTTCCTTCCGGTGTTTTAGAATTAACCAGTGGGGGGATCTTGCGGAAGTTGAGACTTTCATCAAAAACACGATCAACCAACTAATAGGACAAGAGCAAACCCTTATGAGAATGATTTGAAAAAGCACAGATATTGGCATCATAATTTTTTATGATTAAACAGAAGTTATTTCATTCTCAGGTAGTAAGAGAAGCATGATATCTTCAATAAACCAATTACTCTTTCTATTTATAAGTACTTCAAAGGTGTCTGTTTTATAAAAGAGATGTTCATCTACATAGATTTTATGTTCAAAATCCAAAATAGATAGGTATCAGAAATTTGACTCTTTCATGGACGAGATTTCCCCCAAGTGAAAACAGGTGGTAAAACTGAACACTGGCCATGTGGACAGCCAAGGAGTTCATTTTACTCACACTGCCTTTTCCTTTTAGCTTCCTATTTGTTTTTTCCTTTTTTTCTCTCACCAAATACAGGTGACAAATTTCTTCACAGATACATAAATTGCAAATTTCAATTAAGCTTACAAAAGGAAAAAACTTCAAATCCACAAAATAAGCATTTTGGTCTTAAACATAAACTTTAGACAATGCTACAGAAATCACATTCCAAGAGAAAGGCTATACTGCCACCTACAGTGCAAATTATGCACATACACTACAAAGTACCAGACGCTTACTGAAGGAATAAACCCTAGTACAATATTCAGAAATAAAATTAAAAAAAGAAAAGTCCCTTCAATGAGATGTTTGGATGATTTTACTGGGTCTGAGTGAATATATAATCATGGTAGATAAAATTTAGTTAGCTGAGAAAACATTAGCTTTATCATTGTAAATGTACCGGAAGGACCATGTATGTCTTGCCACCAAGAAGATCCTTCTCTTTGTCACCAATAAGGATGACTTTACATACATTCACAATTGATCCGCGTGGTAACTAAACTACACAGATGGATGAAGCACCATTTACCAAATTAGACAACACATAAATGGAGGAAAAACAAAAAAAGTGAGCATTCAGGAATTAGATTATAAAAGGCACGTACGTGCACAGCAAAAAGCAACTAAGGACAGTATTAGCATAGTTTACCAGAATTAAACTTGTCAAAAAGGCTAGCCATTTTGGTTACTATTGAGAACATTATTTTCTAAAATAAGGAAGTGGAATCATCAATATTAGAGGCTGGCAAATTTTTTTCTGTAAAGAGCCAGAGAACAAATATTTTTGTCCGTGTGGCCACCAGTCTCTGTGCGACACCTTTATCTGACACTGTAGCCCCAAACAGCCAGAAGATAATTAAACAAACAAGTGTGGCTTTGTTCTAACAAGACTTCACTCTTTCAAATGCCAATCGGCAGAGCTGACTGGACCAGAGTGCCATCAATCTTGTGTCACATGTTAAAGGTGCCTCCTGGAGCAATGGTGACTGCTGCCCCTGCGGTTGGAGAGCAGGAACCCCGGCTTGGGAAGGACAAGGGTCCTTCTGCTAATTTACACCCTGCAGAGTTTACAAGGATGAGTATGTACAGGGATAGGCAGGAGTAGGTTTACAGTTGTCATATGGAAAATACAATAACTAATGAATGATAATACAAGAATAAACTATTTGACAGATGCAACTGTAAAGCTGCTTTGGCCCCTGTATTTGTGCATGTATACATACATTTCGATTTTCAGAGTATGCTTGTGCGTCCGTGTGTTTGTGAGTGTGTGTATATTCATCAACAGAATGTGTAAAGTAGGAAGACTGTAGAATTTTTCGTTCTTTGCTATGAGACCTATCTCCTAGTTCACTAGCTATGAAAATACCCTTTAAAGTGAGGTATTTCATAGCCAAACTTTATAGAAAATTTATACAGTAACTTATCAGATTCTGGTTTGCTTTCCACATACCATTTATGTCCCCACTGTCAGTAAAACTATGCACTGATAATTAGCAAAGTACTTCTTTGAAATAATGTCAAAACTTCCTGTCAAAACTAACTCACAGCAGGCCCGGCGTTAGCCTTTACTAGTGTTGTTACCAAACATAAGAGAAATTTGTGAATGCAAAGATGGAAAATGCGGAGCTTCGTGCACATGGGGAGGGAGGCCGTGAGTAAAGGAATTAAGCCAGAAGCTAAAAGCAAAAGAAATCGAGAAAAGGAAGAACCTTGTGCATGGCTCCGTGAGGGTCTCCTACCTCTTCTCTAGTGTCTATGGCAGAGCCGGGGGTGGTAGCGGCAGTGCTTACTGTAGTGCTGGGGGCGGTGCCCGAGGATGTCACCGAGTCTATCTCTCCCGCCACGTCGTTGATTTCCCGAGCAATGAGAGCGAGATCTTGGCTGATCCTGGCAATGGTTTGAGAAAAGCAGTTTAAGCCCTTTTAAATAGCAGCTCTAGAAACGACCAGTTGTGTAGGTTGCAACTCTAGAGATGTGTACCCCAGACTCGGGACCTGGAGGACTTCTCTGAATGGTTAGGAATCAGGATACATTCTCAGAGAAGCTGAGTGGCCCGCTCGTGGCCACACGACTTGAGGCTGTAGCTGCCTGTGTGGAGGGCAGCAGACGCAGGACCAGATGCCAGGCAAAGAGCTCGTTTCCATAAAGCCACCCACATGTATCATTGGCCCCATGGAATGAAGAACTAAACAACCGCCATCAGTGATAATCAAAGGAAAAAATTTGTTTCCTTTACTGCTAGCTACATTTTTAAGAGGGGGGACTTACAAAACCTATCATTGATACGAATGTTTTTCTCTCAAAAAGATTCCAATTCTAGAAGTCTTGGAAGTTTTTTAAGTTATTCGGCCACTACACGTGAACTCCATTTTGGCTGTTTCCACAGGGAAGTTTTTAGAAAGAACATTCTAAAAGTCATGTGAAAGCACCTTGCAACTTTAAAGTCCAAAGTAGCATTTTTTTAACTTACGCAAAATGTGAGCTTGAAAGACTTAGAAAAAATGCAGTCACTGCATGCAAATTCAACTATAAACCGAAAACGAGAAGCTGAGTTGAGGGCTGCGGCCCAACAGAAGCCACCTGTGGCCAGTGCCTTTCTCGTTTACTGTGTACAGATTTACGGGTCCCGTACCATGTGTCAGCACTGTGCTAGGCACAAAGAGGTAAAGATTAGGGTCCCAGTCCTAATACACTTAGAAAACTGCAATGAGCACATTATAGTAAAACATAATGTAGTCAAACTGTTATATTATAATATAGTGAGCACCATTAAAAAGCTTCATATTCATCAACTCATTTAATTCCCCACAACCACCTGTAAGAGGTATTGATCTTCTTGTTTTACAGATGAGGAAAATGAGGCAAAGGAGAGGTTACGTGACCATTTTTTGGTTAAGATCACAAATAGAAAGTGGTGTGACCAGCTCTTACGTCATGCTACATCTGGCATGACCATTCTATATGTAATTTTTACAAACTGATGAACCATTGATATAATTCTTTTGAGAAAGGGTTTAAAGGGTTTCCTTCAATAATATATTCAGTTCTTGCAATTTTCTGAAATGAAAGAAGTAGGATCATAATAGAATAACCAGGCTCAATGAGATAAAAAATAATCATCAGCTTCTATAAAAAATCCATTTGTTCTTTAAAGCTTTTTTATGCAGATACACGTACAATGAAACTTCTGACATTTGTCCAAAGTAGTATGAATTAGAAAAAACATAGACCACAGCAATCTCAACATGTCATGTAGTAAAAACTGTATTAAAACGAACAACTTGGTGTCTACACAACACAATACTGTTCAGACAAGAGACACCAAAAAGCCTTCAACTTGCAGATGTGCTGTGTATCCTCCAGCTGTTCCTCTGCACTGCCGTTCCTACCTTAAAGTTGACTTAATAATATAGGCCATTAAGTTCATTTAAATCCACTCTGCTTAAAAACCTCATCATCTACTGAAACCAGTATTAGGAAAAGGACAGTTGTATTAAAAATATAATTTATTAATATCTTCATGTAGAGACAGCAGATTTATGATCCAATATAGGGCATGAATCTTTTCACAAGGCTGTTCACTCTAAGCTTACGAATCAATTCTGTGATGCTTTCCTTACATCTCTTCTATCTGTGTTCTTTAAACTCCAAGCTTGTGATGCCTGTTCTTACTCTCAATCTCTGCAGCGTCAAATCTGGTGGAGGAGGAAACTCTACCCTGACCCATTTATTGGGAGTTCTGCAATGCACCTGCTTCATTTGCAATACCAACGAAACTCAAGCCTTCCATTTGGAAAGCTAATAAACAATTTTCACATTTCATTTCCTTTTTAGGAAATGTGAACAGGACAACAGTCCCAGGGGAAGGAAATATAGTTCAAGGTTAAGTTCTACAACATCAGTGCTTACTTCCCATCTTCCCAAGTGTCAGAGCCATGATCCAATTTCAAAAGTTTGGGTAGAAATACATGTGCATTACTCATGAGAAGGTGGGATAACACAAGGAAGCTTGGGGTTTTCTTACACAAAGGATCTCAGCAATACCACTTTCTTATTTACATTAACTAGAAGTTATTTTTCCCCCAAAGGGTTAATTGCAGGGGTGAAAATATATTAAAATAAGGCTTTGAGTGCACTGGAAGTTTAAGAGAAATACTGAAAACAGAGTCCTTGTGAAATGTATACCTTATTAAACAAGCAGTATTTACTAAGTGTGATCTAAAAACAGAAGTCAGACTTTATTGATTTAAATTGCCAACAACAAAAACACTCTTTTAGTTTTTTTTCGTTTTTTTTTTTTTTTTTTTTTTTTTGCTTCCCGGAGTTTTAAATTAACTATAAAGGGATAAAGTCTGCTTTATCTTTTTAGCAGCATATTAACCTTCAAAAGTTTTTATATCTCAGCAGAGTTCCACACGACGAGGCAACCTCTGCTGTTACTGGAAGGAGGAACTGATGAGCTGCCCATGACGCTGATGAGCTTTAGGGTCCGTGAAGACGGCACATCGAACTGCCTGCTGCTGTCACTGTGGATAAGCGATCGTAACTGCAACTTCAATTACTTAGCTTTTAATAAATAACTTTAGTCTAGTTTTAAAAGGACAAGTGATGAAATATAAAATCAGTTTAACAGGAAACTTTTAAGGCTCACTCCTGAACAGTTTGTTGAACCCAACACTATCATGAAAAAGTCAAGCTCTCGACAGACTTCAAGATTAACTCACATATTGGACCTAAGTGTAGCCTATCAGCAAGGTTCATAAAAAGCTTCCTACCAATAATATCTCCCTCCACTTTTGGAGGAAGCTGTCAGTTATATCTATTACACGCTGGTGGTATTCTGACCCAAGACTGCAAAACCTTAATGAAAGAATTACGGCAAACCACACCTCACGTAGACTTTCAATGAAAGCGTGAGAAATTGGGACAAATAGGTAATCTGAGCCATAAAAGGTTGGCTCCGGGTGGGATAATAATGAGCTGAAACTGGATACTTCTCTTGGGAAGCCAGAGCAATTTAATGAGGGGCCCAAGTGGAGAAATAAATGACTGGAATCTGTTTCTGGCTACCAAAAGAGGTATTGAATTATAAAGAGGCACTTCCCACTGTCAATGAAACTAACTCCAAATGCTGGCTTAGCACCACAGAGAAGTTATATTTGGTGAAACGTGGGAAGAGTCTTAAAACTAGGCTCATAAATATGCTTATAAATACAAATATGCATATAAATAAGTGGAGCAACTCATAAATAAAAAGGTTAAGAAGATAACTTTGAAGGTCTCAGCACGTGGCCATCCATAAACATTTCCTAACTGAATGAGAAAAATTTGATTAAACATACTAAGCATTCCATTTCCACCAGCGACACAAAGCCACCAGTTAAAAGAATATGGCCTGAAGTCATCTGGTAGGATAGCACCGTCCTTACACGGTGAGCAGTATTTGAGAAGGTGCAAATACATGCAGAGAACTAGCATAAGGTGCCCTCGGGCCATAGAATATGATGAAAGCAGAGTGCAGTACTGGGACATGTTGAAAACTAAACAATCTGAGGAGTAACTGTCCCATGAACTTGAAATCATACACACGCTCCTCAGCTGACATCCACAGTCTCCCATTATGAAGCCGGCTCGGGGCTGTCTTCAGTGTGGTGGTTGCTTCACTATATACCTTCACATCTTACACCTGAGCAAAACTTCGTACTTTTGTAAACCTCCCATGTCACTCTGCCTTCTATCAGGTATTCACACCTTCATTTTCTCCCTTTGACTGTGAACTTTCTGAGGACACCTACATCCAAGTCACCCTCACGGCCCACTCAGGCTAAAGACCCGCTGTGCTCAGAGGAGCTGGTTAAGACTTCTTTGCAGAGTGCATGGGACGATGTGCATGTACCGGCACACCTCGCTTTACTGCGTTTTGATTTCCTGTGCTTCACAGATGTTGTGTTTTTTACAAATTGAAGGCGAGACCCTCCTCGACCAGTAAAAGTTTACACACACTCGACTGTGTCACTAGCTTTACTGCAGTGGCCTGAAGCCGCCCCCAGTGTCTCCAAGGTACGTCTGCACGTAATGTATGAAAAGAACTTACGTATGTAAATATGATCCAAAACAGAACTTCAGAGGCACATAAAGCAAAAAGTTAGGACCTTTGCAAATAATATCAGGTCCAGAATGGGCTAAAACATGGTATCACCTTTATCGCTTAATTCTCTTATGAAATATAGCCATAATGAACTGGTAGCTAAGCCTCAAAATATGATATTCTGTTAAGAAGATATTACTCAAATTTCTTCTAAAATAATGTAATGTTACAGTGGTATGTGCAATAATGATTCTAAAACAATGAAATGTCTTTAAGCACCTTCTGATTCAAATGGAAATAGAATAATCTTCTAGTATAATTTTTAGGTTAAATGTATTTTTAAAATTTTTATTTATATATTTTTTAGAGAGAGGGGATGGGAAGGAGAAAAAGAGGGAAAGAAACATCAATGTGTGGTTGCCTCTCACCTGCCCCCTACTGGGGACCTGGCCCACAACCCAGGCACGTACCTGGACTGGGAATCAAACCAGCGACCCTTTGGTTCACAGGCCAGCGCTCAATCCACTGAGCAACAGTAGTCAGGGCAGATTAAATGTACTTTCATTTGGTCAACTGTAAAGGTAGTATTATAGCTGTTTACCCTCAAATTCATAAAACCAGTATAATCTATCAAATTTCTACTAGAAGGATATCTGTATCCATGTTATAATAGAGAAACTGAGGCAGGAACTACCAAAACCGTATTATCAAAGGTACCCAGAAAAAGTTTCTTTTTTTAATTGAAAACCAAATATAGTATATTTGGCTTATGTACTTTATATTCCAAATGGACCTTGTTTTTGTGCTTAAAGTTTATATGCAGGTAAATAATTACTATGTAGCAATAGACAAAGTACTGGTTTAGTGAAATAGCCCTAAATCCTAAACAAAAAGAATATTGCCAAAGCATAACACGTCTTGTAATAAATTAAAATCACTATTAGGGTTCTGAAATAAAATATCCTTACCCACTACTTTCCAGTGACTACTGCCCCCAGAATGGGGGTTGCGAAAGACAGTGGTAACCGGTTCACAGAAATCAAACTACTTGTCCCGTTCCGTTCAGTCTGGGACTCGGAGCGTTTTCAAAATAAACCTCCGCACGCAGGTCAGGAGACCTGACAGTGTCCTAGAGGAACGCTAAGTACCAACCTAACTTTATTTCCTTCCATGCTTTCTCTCCTTCCTACACAGCTTTTTTTTTATTCTTAAAAAAATAAAAATAAAATAAAATCTTCTCTGGCTTTCAGATATATGGCAGAAAAATACACCTCGAAAAATGAAAATCACAAAGGCAAGTTTTATTAGTACCATGCTACCGACAAATTGCAGGGAGAAGGCATACAATCATTCAAGGTTAACGTGCTTGGCCTTAGAGCCCCGCCCCAGAAAATAAAATAAACACAGGCAACAGCAGTAAAATGCACACAATAACACAATTATTATGTGTTAATAATACATAGGGGAAAATATACACTTCCTGTTCACTTTTCCTCTTTTCTGCTCAGGGGCAAGGAGGTGTTCGGTCATTCTAGCTTGGTGTTAAGAGTTTTAGAGGCAGCCTCCTAAGACGTGTACCCTTGGCCCCTCAGGTAGAACTTGAACTTGAATGGTGGGACATCTCCCTCAGAAAGGATAAGAGGAGGAGACAGGAGCAAGGCCTGCTGTTGCCTGCTATGCCCACGGGAATAAAAAAGGTGTGGTGGGCCTCTCAGGACCGGCATGTTGTGGGTCCAGAGGAATCCTGGCTCTTTCTCCAACCAGAATGGGTTTACCAGGCTTCAACAATTATTCTCATGGGAACGCGATTTATATGGTAAGATAAAAATGGCTAAGCAGCACCGTGGGATGAGAAGGGCATGTACTCCGATATTTACAAGCAATTGAGAAATTATAAGTAATTCATCATTCAAGACAAAAACTCTAAATATTACATTAAAATAATAAGTCAACCCCCCCCCCCCAGTTCACAGAAGTGAACAGAGAAAGAAAAAAAAAAAGATAAAGAACATTATATTGTCAGTCTGTTGGGTTTTTTAAGCACCTGTAGACTAATATAGAATTCTTTAGTAATGGTACTAAAGGTAAGACTTGATAATTTTAGCATATAAACAGTGAGAAAGTTTAGGTAACATATGGCTTACTGCAATAAAAGTTAATATCTCACAAACTTCAAAGAAGTTACATTTTAACCACGATAGCAAGTTTGATTACAGCCTCTCTCAACGTTCAACCACAATCAGTTATCGATTAAACATCACGTCTGCAGCATGGATTTTACTTTTTATTATATTACCTGAAGGTTATAATAAAGAAATTTACTGAACATTGAAAATAAACATATTTTGATTTAATTACTACCGGGCTGAACTAAACAATAAACTCATGGAAGTGGGAGTAAAACCCTGCCCACTCTAATTCTCCACAAGAGAACATTAACAGCATACCTCTAACTAGAACACTGTTACCTCTTTGATAGGTGAAACTAACAAAAAGTTAGCAGCAAAATTCTTAATTATGTACAGCTGATACTGACTACCTTTCAAAAGTTATATTAACTCATTAGCATCTCTGCTAGAAATAAAAACGCAATTAAAATAAGTGAATTCCACAATCATGTTAGTAGCGCTGGCATTGAAAATATGAAAACATAATGGACGGAAAGGGATATTTACATCTGACAAAACTAAGTTCACAGTTACCTGTGGATTTTATCTCTTGGACTATTCATCCCAATCAAGCACAAGCTAAACTTTGTTATCAAGTTGAAATGTTGGATAACCCACTAAACTGACCTGGCTATCTCTTCTCGGTGGGCAGTCCAGTCTCGGATGTAGTCTTCTTGCTCTTTTATCCGGTGCTTGAACGAAGAACTCGTAGGCATTGCTGACCCAGAGCTCTGCAACCGAGTTGTTTTCAGGGCTGGAGAAGTACGTAGACGGGTATGTTTAGGGGAATTACGGTTTGATCCAAATTCATCTTCTGAGGTGGAAGCATAATCAGTAGGAAAGCGCCTCCATCTTGAATTTACTAAATTAGTTTAATTATTAAAAAAAGAATTATTATGTTGTCTTTTAAAGGAGATAAAGTTAAAAAAAATCATGATTTCAAAAACACCATGAGCATACACACAACACGATTTTCAGTAACTGACACACACATACCTCACAAAAACCATAAGTCTACTACTTCTTAAAGATAGAAACATTACAGTTGGGTGAATTGGCAACGATGAATAATTAAAGATCATCGAAAGACCGTGTTTTCTGTAGTATGGTGAATCAACATTTAGATGAAAAAGTCACTAATGGTCAACAAGGAAGCAAGCTCAGGTGCATTTTAATTGCAAGTATTTCTCATTTGAGTGAAGATATGGATTTTTAAAAAATGACGGCAACAATAACAACAACAAAAATAAATTAAGGGAAAAGATTTCTTCATGCCACATGGACTTGCAACATGGAGATGGTAAAAACCCTCTTTTCCCCACGGACAAATGTGCATAATTCCTGCTGTGGAAATTATGGCAGAAAAAAAAAACATTACCTCTGTCATTCGACATCCTGTTATGCTATGATTGGAAAAAATCTTTTTACACGGTAAAAACACGACAAAGCATCTTCAGCACAACTCTGTTGCTTTGACACAGAGCAATCAGTGAAAACAGACAATGGCATAAAACCACGAGGAGCAAAACTGTACAAGCTGTTCTCACAACCATTGACAGTCAGGCACAGGAGATCACATGTGAGAAGTCAGCAGACAAGTTAATGCAGACACTTCACTACTACTGGTATTTTAAGAATCAACCATAATTGTGAAGCATAAATAGAGCTTAAAAACGAGGAGATAATGGCGAGTCTACGGTGAACTCCATGAGGACAGGAACCCTGTCTGTTTAACCCACTAATGTATTGTTCTAGCACTTAGCAGAGTGTCCGGCTAGCAAATGCTTAATATTTTTGAATAAATGAGTTAATTCCTGGATAGTGACCATTTGCTTTTCTTGACTTAGGAAACACCTAATAAAAAGCATGAGATGTTTTTGGTGGTTAAAAGTATAATAAAAACTTAGCACCTGCTGGAAGTTCCGACTGCTGTTAATATGAGGAACTTTTCTCTTTCTCTCTCTCTCAACTCACCCCAGGCTCCATGAGCTGGTGAGGTCTGGAATGCCTTCCTGTTACTCCCCTGGAATTTTACACCCTTCCTGTCTTTTCCTTCACAACCACATTTTTTTAAAACAACTTTCCCTCTGGAACGTCTTTTTCTTTTTCCCCCTCAAGGGCATATTCTAGTTAAACCCTTAGTTTACTAGATTAAACTCAACTGTTAACATCTTAACGAACACTTTTTTACATTCAGATATAAGGTAGCCTCCCAGTGATTGGGTAATTACCTTATACTGATGTAACTAAAGAATATACCTTGGTAATTTTTCTTTTCTTTTTCTTTTTCTTTAAATTGTTGTTCAAGTATGATTTTCTGTCTTTTATTCCCATTTCTCGCCTGCCACAACCACATTTTTGCACGGGGCACCGTAAGGCTGTGCTGGTGCTCAGATAACATTGGTATCTGAGCTGGTCTCCGATAAAATGGAGAAATCTGTAATTGGGATACATCGCAAATCAGTCTACCCAATAGTCCTGATTCAGGTCCAAGCTGGAGCTCCCGAAACTTGGAACTAGATTCACAAGTGTGAGAACATAAAGATCTGCAGAAACTTCATGATTTTCTACAGAAGCGTCTGCAAACACATATATGGAACTCTGGGTAATTAATTACATACTTTAATTTTGAAGGGGGGATTAAATATTTCTGATTTTCACACTGTACCATTAACATAAACAATACTGTAACCCTGGGCATAATTTACTCATTTCTAGATATTTAAAATCTCCCATTAACTGAACTGACCCTGAGAACTTGGAAACAATTTTAGAAAAAATTTAGGAACAAGAGCAAAGAGGTTTTAGAAAGAAGTTAGAAATATGGCAAACCAATTAAAATATGGCAAAACACATTTGTACTTTTCAATAAAGGCATTTCATCTCATGTTTATTTTGGTACCTTAGAATGATTCACTAAATGCTTAAATAAGACAAAGATCTTTTGTTAGATTAAATGTCCCAATTATTGATTCGGAAACGATGGTAACCATGCCCATTACTGAAAACTGTTTGGAGAAAGAACAGTAACAAAGAGGTGTAGTAAGTTGAGGAAGCTATGAATGAAACCACGAGCAGGTGTGATGGGACCAAGATGGGCAGTCAGAGGTGACGTGGAGCGAACAGCCGCGACAGCCGACACAGCCCCGAGTGGCAGTGGATGGAAAAGCAGGATGGGAAACGGACGGCCAAGGGCTGCTAATGTATGTTACACGTCGTGGGACAATGCACAAGTAGAGCCGCACGAGAATGTTAACAGTCTGAGTCCCAAGATCAGAAAGTTGTAGAGAAATTCTACAGGAAAAAAAATAAAAGAGAAAAACTGTCTTTTCCAAAGACATTTATAAACTTCCCAGGTAGTTTTTTAGATCTACCTAAGAAGCCGGTAAGAATAGTGATAGCTTCTAAAAATATCTTTAAAAGGAAGAGCAACCAAAAGAATAAAACATATTTAAAAAACTGAAAGGCAACATTGTTAAGTTTGTTCTCTTAAAATGTAGGGCCCAGGGAAAGATAAAGGAGGGTGCAGCAGAGAGATGGAAGTATGAAGACTCTTCCAATTACTGAGGGTGAGCTTTGCCGCGGGAAACCATGTCATACACAGTGAGCTCGGCAGCAAAGCTCAGGGGCCCCTGGACACCGCTTGGCCTAAGTAATAACTCGGCCTAAGTCACACTATTTTTTTTAAAGACATCCTCAATTTCTCATAGAACGATAGCTTTTCTGATTTCTGCCTGTGCTAAAGAAAAATGTTACTTCCTCTTCTTGAATTTTATTCTGCTTAGGTAAAATTACACAGAGAATTAAATGTAATTTATATCATTAGACTTATTTGATATACCGGCACTACTAAGGCATTTCAGATAAATCATTAAACTGAAAATACGCAGTGAGGTGTTTGAAATGCCGATGTCTGAGAGGTTTCTTGGTTGCTGTGATGCCGAATAGCACATAGAAACAATGAGAGAATGTTCTAAGATGGGCCTCATTAATTTCAGAGCTGATCTGAAATTTTGATCTGTTACATTAATTATAAACTTATTTGGGTTATACAATTATGCAACACTCCCTCTTGTGGAAGTAATAAACTACATTCACTATAGAAACGTATCATGAAGTCTAGAGAATGAACAAAGGGGAAGGGGTTATCGGGATCCTTTATCTGTGAATGCTGCATTCTCTTTTCTTTTTGTTGGCTTTAAGACACATCCACAGTTACAGATGTAACAGAAGCATTCAGACAACCAACACTGTTCTTCATATTTTATATGAGAATATTTTTGTGGGATTTTAAACCAGAAACACGTTCTACATGTATATTTATGAGCACGTAACAGTAACATCCTTGGAGGAAAAGAACCCAACAATGTTCTCATAACGGTCTTTGACCTACTGAAGAAATAAACGAAGCCACGCATGCCCACCATTGAATTTCTAACCTCTATGAAGTCTGAGGACTAGATTAAAAAAGGGAATGCAGTCTAAAAACTTCTAAGGATGTTAACACGATGTTCTTATTTGCTAGAACGTGCACTTAAAACATAATGAAAACCAACTACTTTATTTTGATAATTCAGGGTACTTAGTCTCAAATACATCTTATTAAAACAGACCTGGATATTTCTATATACCTTGATATTAAAGGTCATTAAAAAAATTATTGGGGAAAAACCTAGTTAAACCAAATGTAAATTACATCAGAAATAAAGAAGTAGTAAAGGAACTTTACTCTTAATTTTGCTAAATCAGATATTCCCATTCTCATCTTTATCATATACACTTCTTTCAAAAACATTTTTAGGCATAACTTAAAATATAAAATTTGAGTTATTACAGAGTGATTTTTTTACGTGTGCCAGTATGGGCAACACCACACGGGTTCCAGATTCAGGTTCCAGATCCAAAGATCTGTACAGTTTATAGTGTGCATAGCTGTGCTGGTCGATATGCTTTTATATTCTTTTAAATCACATTTCAGAAGCTAAGCATTTTATTTTTTCTATTCAAGATATGATTATTTTGAATAGAAATATCATAGTATCAAAGATGCCTCAATTAACAATAGCAAAAAAGTATGTTTTTTTTAATACTACCTACCCCATGTAGCTATAATATTTTAATATATTACCACGGACTGAAATATCCTGGCCAAGGTCTTTCTTTTTTTTTTTTTAATATTAAATTTTATTTAGTTACTTTTCAAGTACATTTTTTTTTATCTATTTCTCCCATCCCACCCCACCCCCCCGCCCCGTCTCCCCCCCATTCCCCCCCCAGTCCTCATCTCTGCGTCCCTCATACTTGTTCCTCAAAATCCCTCCCCCTTTTTCCCCTTAAGTTCCCTTCCCTCTCCCCTCTGGTCGCTGCCCACTTGTTCTCTATTTCAGTGTCTTTGTTTTTGTTCTGTTTGCTTGTTTGTTTTATTCTTTAGCTTCCTGTCAAAGGTGAGATCATATGGTATTTGTCCTTCAATGCCTGCTGGCCAAGGTCTTTCTATAAAATATCATAAATGGGCATCTTGAGAGATTCTGGACATACAATCCCAGGTCACAGTGTGGCTTTAGGCTCATCAGGAGGAACATGAACTTTGTCAGACATCAGAATGACCAGTGTTACAGTGAATAACCCCAAGACCCATGTACTGTCTACTGGCCTACTCCCGATGATAATCCGACAGTCTAGCAATCCCCTGGTAGCAGTCCCAGGCACACAGTCCCCTGTGTGCAAGCAGACAGGGACTGTTTTTCAGAGCTACTCTAGATGTGGTGGAAGAAGCAAAAGGCTGGGAACTAAAAGCCCTGGATTCTCAGCCCGTCCCTCCCACAGCTGTATAACGAGGGCAGGGGATTTCACCTCGGGCTCAGCTACTAGCTAGCTAAACCAAATGACCCTTCTAGCTGTTAAATTCCATGATTTTAATTATTTAATACACTGCTATTGTGTATGAAGAAGGCCAAAATCATGTACCTCAATCTGCCCTAAAGACTTTCAGAAATTAATTCAAGGCACTTTTTTGGACAGGGAAATTGCATGTTTATCAAGTTCTGCAGTCGAAGAAGCCAACACTAAAACTTATCCTTAAAGGCATGTACATAATGTGACATCTTACAGCCATTTCTCAGATTTGCATCACACTTGGTTTGCATTACCAATAAGCCCTCAAGTTAAATACTGAGAAATGACACCAAGTCACTCAGGGGTTAAGAGCTGGACAACCAGGACAGAAGGAAGAGTTGCTCCAAGCAACCTGGTAACAGACAGCATGTGTTACCGCCCGTGTTGAGCCTGGGGAGCACTTAAACATTTTTATGATCTTAGAGACGAGTGACAAAACACAGTGTGACAGAGAAGTTTTATCAGAGCACACACCAGAACAAAACAAAGGAAACGTGAAGAGGTAGGGCCACAGGAACAACAACGGAGTAACGCTGAGTAAACATAAACCGAGAGACAGCAGCAGTTACTTTGAAAATACTTAGCAACGAAACTAGGAACCGCCAACCAAAGCTTGAGGCGCAGAAGCAAGAGGATGGGGGTAATAGGGAAGATGCACCTATTGTTTTTGGAATCATGGGCGTATGTAAAACATCTTCAGACTCCACACATGCCCACCACCGGCACAGCCGCCATCACCACACCCACCGACGCGGACAGAGATGGAATGTGGACAGAGTGGAGGGGCCAGCAGCGGAGAGAGGAGAGGAAGAATGAAAAGGGAAGAAGTAACACAGGCACAGCACTGTGAGGCCTGGGTCTGGTGGACTACGCTGCGGCAGGGGTGAAGATCAAGAGGCAAGGCCACATACCGACTGTCCCTGCATTCTGACTCAGGACTTAAGGTCCACTGAGACGCCTGCTGACTGAGGATGACAAGCATCCAAGTTTGCAATAGCTGGTTTCCCCGCACTGGCCTGTTCGGCCACACCCCTGCAGGAGGCTGATTGTGATGTAATGAGGCCGTGTCTACCGGATACACACAAATGTCTGTCTTAGGACCAAAGGGATCAGGTACGTGTTTATGGGCCTCAGCTCTCAATACGAAGTATGTAAACAGACAAATATGCCAGAGGCAGTTAAAATCTGGTGGGGAAGTCGTTTCTGTAAAGATTACAGGTAATGACAGCTAACGACTGTACTTAAATGATGTAACAGTGCTCTGTGAGCTGACGCTCCTAACCTGTTAGATTTCTACAGCCCAGTTTGATACATGGGCTAAGCGACTGCCTCACGAACCCATCTTCTTCCACTGAAATAAATCACGGGTTAGTTTCGCTTGCCCCGCCCGTCAACAGATCTAACTTTTAAAGGTGTATAAGGTAAGACTACATACCGAGGTAAAGTGTATAAGACGCGTCAAAAATAAATAGGTCAAAAAGGTTAAATAATAATAATTTCATTTAGCTCCAAAAAGAGTAATAAAAGGTACACTGCTTTTCTTCAGATCCATAAGGACTTTTAATTAGGTGAGGATATTTGAAAGTTAGACATATGCTTTTAGGAGCACAATGTTGATTCCTATTATCTAAACCAGAGAGTAATTCCTAATCTGATTTTTGACATACAAATCCAGATAGCTCACAAGTAGACAAATCTTCTATAGCAGTTCAGTAGACCTCTAATTTTGAAATCACTATTAGCTGGAAGTATATATAACATCTGAAGTTTCTATTTATTAAACTAAAGAAAATATTTTTTATAGGAAAAAACTCTCTAGAGTAACTTTTCTGTTGAATAGTTTGAGAAATGAGACTTAATTAAAAAAAAAAAAAAGAATCCTAAAACATAAAATAAACATGCTAATATTGTAAAAAGTCTGGATTCCATTTACCTGAAGGGGAGCCATGCGCTGAGGACATGCTTTTGACCTTGGAGTCTGAGAGTCGAGAGATACTGTTGGCTCTGATTCTAGGAGAAAACTTATCTGAAGGTACCAATCTGGCTCCACTTCGAATGATGGCTTCTGCGGTCCGTGAAGAGGCACTACTTCTAGAGATGGTGGCTTCTGAGTCACTTCGAGCTGACAACGAGCCCAGCCGGGTCCTCCGAGGCTGAGCCAGTAAATCAATCCTAGAGATGTTCCGCCTTCCTGTGGGAGGCTTTGATGTTGAACTTGTTGTGGACACTTCAGAAGCAACGGATGCTTTGTCAGCATCGGCAAGTTCACTGTCTGAAGCTTCACCAAGTCGAGCTCGGCGCAAGAGGGAAGTCCTGGTGGGTCGTGGCCTCGGAAGAGTGGTGGATTTACTGGATGAACCAGGCGCGGCAGGAGAAGTCTTGGACTTGCTCGCCCTGCTTCCGTCCAGTTTGGAATGCGCGTGCTCATCGGCTGAGGTAAGCGGAGTCCTTCCGTGCGGTTTGCAAGAGTAGGTTTCCTGATCGGACGACAGAATGTCAGAGATGGCAGAATGAGGTACGCTGGAGGTCTGGTCGTCATCGGTTAAGTCCACCGAAGGCTGTCTTATTCTTCCACTGGACTGCACGAACTTACGCCCATCCGCTCTTGAACCTATATCTGTGGAACGGCTTTTCGTTTTCTTTTCGATTTTCTCCCTGGCACCAGAAGATGATTTTGCAGCATCTTTGGAAGGAGAACCCGAAGAACACCTGTCTTTATAGAGACTGGTGAAACTCTTGCGCTTCTGGGTCGACTTCCTTTCGGTCTCCCCGGTCACCAGGCTGATTGTACTAGCTGTGTCCACATCCGATTCCGGTGAGATGGAGTTGTCTCTGTTATAACTGGGAGTATCTGGGCCTTCATCGGCTTTATTATCTTCACGCAGTTTAGCTTCTAGAAAAGCCATCACTGCCTCCGTGTCTTTTAGAATAAGGGTTGTGTCCATACTGGAATCCGTTTCCATGGAGTCACTCCTTTCGCGTATTCTGCTGGATGCCAGGGCCAGAGATGGGGGTGTGGACGAAGTCTGCTTATTGATATGCGGAATAAGTTCTATGGGGATGTTGGGGCTGGGCTTTTCTATAGTGAAGCTTCCCTGTCGCACTAAGGACTTGGAGGATTCCTTCTTGTCTCCTCCCTTCGAAGTGTGGCTTTTCAGAATGTCCTCAGCTTTTCTTCGCTTGCCCTCGCTTTGTACCACCCTTTCTCCTTTGCTTGCGGAATGTCCTGGAATTTTTTCTTGAGAGAGTGACTCCTGTTTAAAAGATTCCTCCCTACTTCTGTCCACCGGACCTGAGGCATTTTTGGAAGACAATTTAGGGGTCCACTGGACCTGCTCCTTTGGCTCTTGTTGCTGAAGTTTGGCTAATGTTTGCTTTACCAAAGACACCTCCTTATCCGCCTCCCCTTTCTCCTTCGCGGGGGAGGAGCTGACCAAGGGCAGCAGGACTTTACTGTCCCCGCCGCTGTTCAGAGGCTCCCCGTTCACCGCCCTGCTCGGTTTCAGGGCTCTCTCAGCATCCTGCTTATCCTTCTGGTACACCTGGGCCGGGGCTTCCTTCTCCTGAAGCTCCGTGTCTTGCTTTTCTCCTATCTCTGACCTCTGGCTCATAACCTTGGCTCTGGAGTTCTCCAGGGACTTCTCTTCATTCGGCAGCTGGGGGAGGGTCCGTCTCCTCCTCTCTCCGTGACCGGCCAAGGAAGTAGCCGAGCCGGTACTTCGCATGGAAATGCCAGAGTCATTGATATCTGCATCTGTGAAATAGAACCACAAAGAAGAAATGAGGGCCAAAAGTAAATATACAAAGAATACCATTCTACACTAGGTTTTGAAGTGTAAGTTAAGAGATGGCTTAGGTATAAAATAAAACTTGGACTAAATAAGCCAGCATTGTGACAGAGTAGTTTAAAAGGCAGGTACAATGCCAAGTGCACAAATGGGCAGATTACTGAGAGGGGAGCCAGGAAGCCAAACTGCCTGAGATGAAATTTGGGTCATCTGGTCTGAGAGCTACTTCTGCTGCCTCTTTTCCTTTTAATGTGTTTTACGGAAGAAGTTCACCGTGTTCATTCTTGCTCTGGGGGCTTAAAGTTTTCCTTTAAATTTTGCTCACGACCACAGACTCTAATAGTGTATTGTTGAGCTGTACAGAGAATGCCTAATAAACACTTTATTTGCAATACTTTCAATTTACATAGCAAAACTCTTGTTTTTAATAAGCATTATTATCAAACTGAAAGAATATGTTGGGTTTCCTAAGTAAAATGGAAAACACAGGACTTAATAAGTTTTTCTAAAGATAAAATTGAAAGCTAGTTAAAAGATTTTTTTAAATTATTATAAGTATGAAAGGAGGTGATAGGACTTGTGTTAATTTTATAAACGGAAGGATTTTAAATTACAGCTGCCTGGTGCATTAAGGCCTCATAAAGAAATACACAATCACTTTCTCTTTTTCAAGTAAGTGGAAGCCACTGAGTTCATCTGAATGATTTCCACATTAGTGAAATTAAAATTATACATGTAGTGTAAACACGATCATATCTGAAAATGCTTTTTAGGTTTAATTTACTTCTCACTATACAGGTTCAGCTTGTTTTTAAAAAACGGATGTACCATTCACACAGACACACACACACACACACACACACAAGAAAATACCATTCTCTAAAGGAACAGGTACAGACAGTTCCAGTCTCCTTTCTTCCTGATCGTGCCTCGTGTGGTTAGCAGCCAAACTAGCCCACTGTGAAACCCAACGCTTGCTTCCGGAAGAAGGTGGGAGTTCCTGAAAAGGAAAAATAAGGTAACAAAATAATACAGTCTGGTCAAATCTGATTCTCATGAGAGACAATTCCAGTTAGTCTCAACAACCTGTCATTCAAAGCAATATTCACAACTCACATTCTTGTATTCTCATTTATTAAGTTTCCTCATATAGTATAAAATGAATATTCTCTAGTTACCCCCTTTAACTACAACATTTTATTATTACTGGAAATGTAGTATAAATCAACTTATGCAAGACTAACAATGGTACTAAAATAAACTCTTGGAGCTGAAATTTACTGCTGCTACGTAACCTTAGGTGTATTATTATCATAGCTCCACGGCTCTAACGGTGGAGTTAGTCCGACTCCCTTCTCCGGAAGAGGGAGTCGAAAGGCCCGTCCCTACGCTGTTCTCTAGCCTCTAACTGTGTCCACGAACCACAGTGGTTCCAGAGTCTCAAGGAATCCTCCGGGCCACGTCGTCAGGGACTTCAAAGACAAACCCAGAGCCCGGCACTTTTTTCAATGACATTTTGATATTTTCAGAAAGAGAAGAAATCACTCAACCTATAGAGTTTTTCCATAACCAGTCTGACCTGCACCTACAGATCTTGCCCACGTCTACATCTATCCTTCAACCAAGTGCTCTTGAACCCTTCCGGTCAATGTGCAGTGGAACTGAGTTCACGACATGGACCCACAGGCTTATGGACACAGAAAGGGGATTCTCAAGACCAGAGCCATCTAGGCATTTAACATGGAAGAGCTAGGGAGTGAAAAAAAAACCACTTTCTCACTAAGAATCTAAGCCAAGGCTTAATACTGAAACTGAAATGACAACTAGTATAGGAAGCTATGACCGAAAATTTACTTTGAATTTTCAAAACACTATTTTATTAAAAGTGCCAGATTTACTGTATTAGTAGTGACAGGCTAGAAACTGCTAAAGAAAATACTTCATATGACTGTATACTCTATGATTTCAAGAATAATACATTAAAATAGTGAGTACACATAATGACATACCTCCAGTGAAGCCTAAGGAATTCTTGCTGAACCCTTGATTTCCTTTCAAGATTTTACGGTGACTGCACATAACTCTGGCACCGAAGGGGGTATGTCAGCCATTCACAAAATGCCGGGAGTACCCAGAATAGGGTGGGTTTCATAGGCACATACTTATGTAAAACAGCTGTGTACAAATCGTTCTAATGGCCTTTTTAAGAGACTCTTTCAAAGGCGGGTACATATTGGGGCTATGTACAAATTTTACTGGGCGTGGGTTGAGGGGACAGAAGAAAGAAGAGAGAATCTATTTGAGCTCACAGTCACCAGAACCCTTCCTAGATGAACCAGAATACCAAAACCCGGCCTCAGATAAGTACTGCTGGCTTTCAGTGAGTAAATGAAGTGTCTTGTGTCTTGTCTCAACACAGAATAACAATTAAGATCCAGGGGAAAAGAGAACACTAACGTACAGTAATTACTTTGACAGTTTTCAGGAAATGGCAGACCATAAAAGGACAATTGTAACATATAGGTAGGTGTATTCACCTATCTATAAAAATATTTTGTTTATACTTCATACAAATGGAACTACTATATTTTGCTTTATTTCTACCTTAAGATCTTATTTATTTTATATTTATTTACCATGTGCATATTTTAAATTGACTCATTTCCTGAGAGGGAATACAGCACAGTGAGTAAGAGAATGAATTAAGAAATCAAGGCTTCTTAAAGTTCAAACTCGAGCTCCCCAAGGTACAGTACTAGTTTTAAGACCTTGGCCCATTGAATTGTTACACACTACAGCTTCCTGCTTTGTAAAACCATACGCCCACTGAATGTTAGCTCTTATGATCTGAATAAATTATATAATTAATGAACACTTCTCAGTTACATGCATTTTTTAGATTTTTTTCTTGACACATCAGTGTGGAATGAAATTCTATGCTCATTTCCAAAACAGGAATGAACATTTAAGTGCATAAATCTCAGACAATTACTGTGCTGGACGTTTCATACACCTCATTAAACTCTCTGTAAACAGGTTTTATTAAAAATTATTTTCTCCGCATTTGTAGGGGTGAGAAAACTGAAGACAAGAAAAGGGAAGCAGCTAAGTCAAAGGCATGCTGTCAAAAGCGGCAGTTCTGGGATTTGAACTCAGGTCTCTCTGGCTATGCAATACCACACTGAGTCTAAACTACCTTAACCCAGCCATCCTTAATCACGTAACTTCCCATTATTCTGACTACATCCCAGCTGTTCTGCAAGGGCACTGCTTGAGGTTTACAAGTTGTATCTATGAGGCGCTATGTTGCCTATGTTTCCTGGCATGGTAAGTCTTTCCGTTCCACATACACAACCTCCTAGAAAGTATAGGCGGTGTGTATTTTTTGTACTTTCTCACACTGCAATCACAGCAGCGAGCAGAAGCTCATTAACGGCTTACCAACAGTTAATATTTTCTCCCTCGCTACAAAACAACGTTCATTTGAAAGAACACAGAAACAAAAACTGAAATGGGATTACTGCGAAACTGCTTCAGGCTTTCATGGGAAACAAATGACTTGTGAGGATTCGGTTTTTCGAAGCACTTCCCAAGAGGATGGATCAAGAACCCAACGTAGTTACGAATGACAGAAATGCACATGGTGCGTGGACGACGTTCAGCACGAGGGAGACGTATACCTCTGAGTTGTGAAACCCAGGAGTGCACAGCGGCTTCCTTTCTTCTACTGCAGCAGAACTGAGAGCCCAGTCTTTTACCAGATCTTTATGTTTCTCACGGATAATGGGCCTATTATAGTCCTGATTGTCATCTAATCCAAAGACCTGGAGGAGAAATCATTTTACAGATGAAAACTCAGATTAACATGGGAATGAATACTCTCAGTAACTTCAGAGGCAAATAAAGATACCCTAAATTGACTTCCACAGTGAGAGAAAACCTGCTGAACTACGAGGTGTCCTCCAAGCGGAAGGAGAGCTGGAGAGGAAGAAAGGACGGGGCAGCCCATGTAGCTGTAACTGCCCTTGGTTGATATTTGGCAAACGTACTGTTTAGTAGCAAGAAACATCCAGGATGTTACATGTCATTTGTTAAAAGATGTCAATAATGTTAAACACGGAAATGGCATAGAGCTAAAACCATACCACTTGAGCTTGTTTTCACTTTGTCTCTTTGTTCTGTTATTTTTGAGAAGCATGTTGGGAAACTATACATGTATGATGGATTTCATGTGTTCTTTCTCTACCAAGTGTTTAACATCTACATACATGTGTGAAATTATACATATAACTAAGTTCACACATAACAGATTTTACTGTATGATCTTTATGTTGGGTGTAGGATCATTCTCTAACTACAGTCACCTAAAATAACTCCAAGGCCTTCATCTGAAGTGCAGATTTCCGCGTCTCCTCACGCAGGTTATTTAGCCCTTCGAATAAGCAGGCTGTCTCTGGTGGACACTCTGGACATGGTCTATGTACAGACGTCAGCAACCGTGCTTTTAAAGCAGGACCTCAGTCTTACTCATTTCCTGGCTCATGACAGGCCCTGATTTTGTCAAAGAGGCTGAAGAAAGGTTAAGTACGTGAACTTGAACGTCCACAGTCTCACTTTGTTCCCAATGCTTATTATTTACAGGTATTGGTTGTGGCTCTAATTATTTCAATCAAGAAAAACACTGCGTTTGAATTAGCATTTTGTAGAAAGGAGTTTTAAAACATAGCCAAAGAGACTTCATTCTGTATAAAAGGGGAAAATACCTTTGTTTAAGCTGTTTTGTAATGATTATCCAGCACATCTAACTGATAAATTTTGAAGCCCACATTTAGTAAGGCAGATGACAAATTTTTAAGCTATAACCTGGGAATTTTACCACTAGATGGCCTCATTACTTGATATTTAATTCAAATGTCACTATAGTTTTAAAGCATTGTGATTTCCTAGTCTCTTGAACCACTCAGTATTCAAATTATCTTTGCTTTAAGAGCAAATTATATATTATTGAATTTAAATCAAATAGGAATCTTAATAACACACAGAATCACAATATACCGAAGAGACAAACCTGCTTCACTTTGCTCCACAGTAGAATTAGTAGGTTTAACAACCACAAGCAATGAAAACACTAAACGTGCTTTTCTATGTGCTCTGCCGTTAACCCCACTTGAACAGAGGCAAATTAGAGCTACTTAAGCCATTTGTGACCATCTTAAAATTCAAATTTTCTAACTCAAGTCATTAAACTCCAAATTTACTGATTTATCTCCTCATTTTTATAAAAACTACTAGAGAAAAATCTAACTCAAGTTTAGCAGTAGAAGATAAAAATAACCACTGTGATGACTATTTGCATGTCGTAGCTCTTTGGTGTGCTAATTTATGAACTACCTGAAGTGATTTTCTGATCTGCTGATAGCGCGTTCTAATCATACTCACGGGGACTTCCCAAACCTTGAGTTTCTCAAACATTTACGCACCAGCAGTTTCTAACAAAATATAATCACAAATCTCTCCGAATCACTTCTGACACTACTTTGAAATAACAAAAGATATGAACACGAATGCGCAGCAGCGCTTTAGGAAGGGGGCTGGAGCACGGAGAGGGTGCTCAGACGGAGTTCCGCGGATTGCCCTGCCGGGGCATCTGACCTTTTGGCGCCTCTGGGCCACCCTGGAGGAAGAGCTGTCTTGGGCCATGTGTTAAATACATCCAGACACATAATCACAAAAGCATCTCCAAATGTTTTAAGTGGATTTATGGTTTTGTGTGGGCCGAATTCACAGCCGTCTGGGGCTGCACGCGGCCTGGGGGTTGCAGGTTGGGTGCCCCTGCTTCAAAGCCTCGGAGACAGCTACCATAGGCGTATCTGTCAGGGAAGTGGCATTCGCCTATTTTCCAGACAAGTGAGAGAACCTAACTGCCACTGCGAGGGGCAAGAAGCCTCCCAAGTTCACCCTCCATTTTTGACAGTGCTTTGAAAAGTTAATGAGAGCAACGACCAGCCTAGCTTGAAATCCGCGTCATCATTTTTGTGTCTGGGTACACAAACACCTTTTGGTGACAACTTTCATGTGAAAACAAAGAGGCTATAAAAAAGTTATACTGTCTACACACTTTAAAGGTATACTTTTCACATTTAAAAAAGTACATATATCCTGTCACACGATCTAATAGCTAAACAGAATTTGAGAGTTGCTCAAAGCAGAGGCCGAGTTTGCTACAGTTTCTCCTCTTTTCCTTCTAGAATTTGTCCCTAGGGGATTTCACCCACATCCAAGGCTTCCTTTCGATTTCCAACTACAGACAGCTGCTCACCTGTCACCTCTCCTCCTAGATGACTCAGAGGTATTTCCAGAGCAGTTTTAACAGACTCATGATTCTCTCCTCTTCCTCACCCTGGCCTTGATCAATGCCCAACCTGATACATGGTACAGTCTCTGGGGTTTTCATTCAGCTAGGGACCTATCTGAAGGCCACTGCACTAGCCACCATAACGGATATGATTTACAGTCAGCCCTCAGTATCTGTGGGTTCCACATCCATGGATTTGACCAACCACAAATTGAAATTTTTTTTATAAAAAGTCACACTGCCGGCCTGTATTATGTAGTCAGGCATATGGTGATTGTGTCTGTACTGGACATGCATAGACATTCTTTTCTTGTCATTACTCCCTAAGCAATATGGTATACCAACTACTCATATAGTATTTACATGGTATTCGGTAGTACTAGTAATCTACAAATAATTTAAAGTACGCGGGAGAATGTGTGTAGGGTACATGCAAATACTGTGCCATTTATATAAGGGACTTGAGCATCCTTGGATTTTGGTGTCTGCAAAGGATCCTGGAACCAGTCTCCTGGAGATAACCAGGGACGACCGTACATGGCAGCCTCTGCTCTCCAGTTGCTTTGGTCTCATACAGAAGCTTATGAAGAGAGAGAAGAAGAGGAAGAGATGGAGAGAGAGTCACCTGACACATACAGAGGGACTCTGTAGTCAAACAAGATTTCTCTTAAGAACCAGACTGTATTTTTAGGTTTTAGTTTTGAATAAAAAACCCAAAATATTCTTCGGATGCTAAAGAACTAGAGTGTATGAAACGAACCAAGCCTATGAAAAGTTTGACTTTGGTTTTTTCCCACTAGCATATTATTATCACAGTCATTATTAGTTAAAAGCTCCGACTCTACAGAAAATGCACACAGCTTCTAATTCTGAAACTGTAGGGGAGAATAGTGGTATATGAAGCTAAAAACACAGGGCCAACTTCCATGGGGGTACACGTCACACCTCCTGAGTACTTGTAAAGAGAGGTCAGATTATATTGGATGGGTGTGCTTATCAGGACAGGCAGTTCACGCCAGTGTGGGAGGAGTGGAGGAGGGGAGACTGGTCTATGAATACGATCGCTGCCAGTTCAAATCCACAGCAGAGGTTCGCATAGCCTAGGAAAATCAACTGACACATAATTACTTTAAAAACTATGCAGATGTCTGGCCGCTAACCTTAGAAAATAAAATCAGGGTGATTTAATAGAGAAGAATTTTTTAACTTTGCAATTTTCTGGGCAATTTTAACTTCATTTAAAATCCTTTAAGATTCAGTGGAATAAGTCGTTCTGAATGTTTAACACAGGATTTGTATAACATGCGTAATCAGCATTTAAATGTAAAGTCTACACAAAATTGTTAGAAGGGAAAAGCTGAGAATGGAGGTAGGAGAGGCATTTGATAATTGATCACAGTGCACCAGTGTTCACAGCAGAATGCTACTCACAAATAAATGTCAGAAGGTGGAAACAACAAATAAATCCACACAAAGACACATGATTCGGTCACAGAAGGCATGAAGTACTGACACATGCTACATCATGAATGCACCGTGAAAACATGCTGAGTATAAGCAGCCAGTCCCGAAGGCCGCATCCTGAATGATTCTCGTTACATGCAATGTCCGGAATAAGCAAATCCTCAGGGATCTGCCAGGGGCTGAGGGAGAGAGGGATGGAAGAGACTGCTTAATGGGTGTGAGATTTCTTCCTGGGGGAGTGAAACGTCCTAGAATTAGATACTGCTGATGATTGCACAACTTTGTGAATGTGCTAAAAGCCTGTGAATTATATACTTTAATGGCTAAGAGGGTAATAGGGTGAATGCTATGTGAATTTTACCTCCAATTTTTTTAAAGGCACCATCTGGCTTTCATTTCCCTTTTTACTACCTCTATCCAAATGTTGCCCCCTCCCCGAAGCTATCCTGTGGCCTGAATCTTCCCATTCCTGAGAAGTGTTATACCCATAATCTTCTCCCCCATCACAGCTCAGCATTCTTTTCCTTTAGAACCTCCTTTCATAGCTTCACATCCTGCTCAAGTCTCAGCTAATGTTTCTATAGTTAAAATGTCTAAATTCGCTCCTCTTCACGGCTAATTTCCTCCTCACACATTCCTTTCATCCCTAAATCTGGCAGCTCTTACTCTTTCTTTGCCAAGAAGATTTTTAAGTGCTAAGTCGTTCCTGAGGGACTGCTGGAAATCCAATGGTATTTCTTGTCTTTCACCAATCAAGGCAATTCTCCTGAAACTTACACATTTCTTCCGACACAACCTGTATCTCTCGCACCTTTCGTACTATTAGATGCTAAGCTTATAAAAGGTTTTAAACTATACATTTTTAGCAAGTGACTTTAGATCAAGATAGACACAGATAGTTTCAGCACAAAGAATACAGGAAAACCTGTTTGTGGGGGCCCGGTCGGATTTGATCAATCCATAAATTTCTCAAAACAAATTAGCTAATAGAAAGCTAACCACACA